TTTTTCTATTAAAGTACCTGACCTTAACATGGATAAAGGATGCATATCAATTTACTATAAATACAGATGTAGGATATTCTATCCCTATGGTATCCATGTCAAAAAAGTTAATTTAAAGCTTCTAAATCGACAGATGTTGTAGAATGCAGTTTCACCAAAATTCTTTTTTTGTCAGTGATGATATTTGACAGATGATAGCCACAGGCAGAAACAACTCCAATGGAAACACTGACACACATAACAAATGCCTTATTTTGACCATTAATATATTTCCTCATGTCTTTCTCATTCATGTTTTGCCCTACAGATCCGAAAGGTTCACATATAAATGTATCTTGTACTATATTTGCTTTTAATGGCCTATTAGTTCTTTTATTGAAATACAATGACAACCTTACATGATTTTAGTACAACAGTGTTTTATAATGTATTTTCACTTGTTTTATTTAGTCCATCATCTGCGCTCTAGCTCAGCTGACAGGTGTGTCCACACAGGAAGCAGAGAACTTGTTCCTTGCTGGTCCTCAGCACAGCAGAAGGCAAGAGTTGCAGGAAAAGACCTGCAAGGTTAAATGGTGCATGTAACATTGTAAATTGTGTACTTTTTTTTGTCTGTTCTAGTGAGATTGAAGACTTTGACCAGAGAATAACCTGTCAAATGAAAAAGGACGGTCTGCTGTAGGACTGTACATTTTTATTATTGCTTTTAATTTTTCTCAGTGTTTTTTTTAATAGGTATATTGGCATACATTAACTGCAGGCACTGGGAGAACATGCAAGCTTCACACAGAAAGGCACCCTGGGCAACCAAGGGGTCAAACCCAGGACCTTCTTGCTGTGAGGCAACAGTGCTAATCACTACACCACCCTGCATTCCTAAGAGTAACTATAAGCAGAACATCTTCCAAAAAAATGTCATCTCTCAGAGAGGTTACAATGTTGATATAGTATTGGTGAACTCATTGGGTCAAGAGCATTAGTTAATATTCTCATCAAACATTAAATAGGAAAAAAATGTGACCTCAATAACTTTGTGTCACGCCCAGCTCCGTCCGATCCTAATGTGTGCCACGGCCCCCTCGTTACCTCCTGTTTTTGCCTGATTGTTCTCACCTGTTTCTCGTTACCCTTAGCTTGTCTTGTGTATTTAGTCCTCGTCTGAGTCAGTCTTCCCCAGACTTGTCATTGATGTTGTTTTGCGTCTTGTCTGATTCTGTCCTGTTCTGCCCGTCTGAGACCAATAAATCCCCGTTTATTGGACTTCACGACTCCGCTTGCCTGCTTCCCCATTCTCTTGCACGCCAATAGTGACAGAATGACAAGTCTCCATAATAAGCTCAGCGCTACTGGGGAGGTTCTCCCCATGGAAGAGGAGGTCATCGGGTGGACGAACCTGCTTGAGCTCCAAGACGATCCAGTAGCCCGCCCGCTCGTGGACCGATGTTGGGAGGTTTCATACCGGTGAGGAGCAGCAGCTGGTAGAGGTGAAAGAAAACCTAAGGCTGTTGAGGGAGAGAGCGGCAGTTTGGCTGCCCCACCTGGGGTACGCCGCCTGGTAGCCGCCCCCCGACTAACCACCTGCCTCCATCCCGGTCTCGAGCAAGACGGCAAAGACTCCAGCCTTAGCCTCCCAGCGAAAGACAACTCTTCCAAAGCGCAAGACTGAGCTTAACGCGGCTTCTGCCGCTCAACCCCCCAGCTATGGAGAACTGCCTGGGCAACGCACCTGCCCGCGGCCCTGGCTGAGGCCGCCTCTCTGCCCGCGGCCCTGGCTGAGGCCGCCTCTCTGCCCGCGGCCCTGGCTGAGGCCGCCTCTCTGCC